TTCATTCTAAGAAACAACCTTGTATGTCAAGGCAATTTTACTACAAAGTGTATTATGTTGGAGGTGAATTAGCTAAGATTTGTCTTAACTCTAAGATTTAAGTATCGTCAGGTTTTAAGTAGATATAATTATGACTAAATGATGAAAAATATTATTCTATTGTTTTCTATTGAGATCCTTTGTGTACTTAACAAGATAAATAAGCAAATATAAAGGACTATTTCCAGAATATTGTTCGTAAGACACATTTACCAATATTTATTGACGGTAGTACATTACTATACAAGGATATACAAGTCCTAATACAAGATCTTTGGCATTGGTTCCAAGGTCTACTAAATTAACTGATCAGCCAAAATATTTACGATATTGCTATGATACGGAATTACGATTATGTTGACCACGAATTGGTGAATGTTTTATTCAAACATAACATCTCTTTGCTAGAATTTGTCATACAAAGAATAGGGTATAATCATAAAATATATTTTGATAAAATGTCAATAAAAAATTTTGACAATAAATTATAATAATTTAATTAGAAACGAATTCGAATTCGGATCCAAGCGAAAATGTTTCAGGATTAAAAAATATTCGTTCAATTTGAGTTCATTAAATTAAAAAATCAATTGCCAACAATAATATATTAAAAAATGCATCATAATCTCTACAATTAGTTTTACTTCAAGAAGTGGAATGAAACTGATATCAATAGAAAGTTAATTTTACATACTATTATTCTTAAAGAGTTAAACTGTTTGAATATTTATATCAAATAGACCTACCTGTAATTTCATTCAAGGATTTCTTATTAACATTTTTAGTTATTTCGAGAATTTTTGGAGTGTCAATTGCCACTATTTTCGTCACAAATTATTTTTCTTGTTTGATTTTTGATTATTTCTTTTTGATTAAAAACTAAACTATTTTTTGTACACTTAGTGCCGAATTTCACTATATTCACGACCTGCCTGTGTTCATGTTGTTTCATAGTAATATAGTTAAAAAAAAGAGACAGCATGCTGATTACTGAAAATTAGTCAAATTTACATTCAAATTTAAATCTAATAGAAAAAAGGGAATTGTTTGGAAAGGTTAAGACTAATATAAATTTTACCGAAGCAACTTGAAATGTAAGGAATAATCATATATGGCTATAATCAGTTTTTATTGGAGTTTTAAAAAATTCTTTAAATTCTTATTCTGGTATATGAAGATTTTTGTAATATTTTGCTTGTTGATTTGAAGCACATAATTAATTAACAAAACATCAATATTGCATCCAGGTAATTATATTTAAATTTCTGTCTTGTTGACATGTAATAGAATTTTTCACACTTTGATCTTTGGTTAATTAAAGGTTAGACTATATAAATGTTTGATAAATTATTTACTGAAAACATTCCAGACAATGTTGATCATATGGCAAAAAGTTTACTGAAGGAGAATGATGAGTTTGTTTTTCATAAGATATCGAAATGAAATGAAATGTTTTACGTCATTCTTCCCAGCATATTATTCGACTGATAAAAATTACAGACAAAAAAAAAAAAAAAAAAAAAAAGGAAAGGAAAAACTCATATGAGCATTATTTTTTGAAGAAGAGAGAAATTACCTCAATAAAGATTCGAGTCAGATTTGTTCGGAATATCTCGTAGGTGTGAAGATTAAATTCTCAAATATAGTTAACAATGGCATAATATCAACTTCAACAGCCATCGAAGAAAATTTTTAATTTGAAACATAAAATCATAAATTAGTTTATTTCACTTAAAACATTTTTTTGAATAATTAATAAATTAAAAAAATCACATAATATAATGCTGAATAAATAATGATTTCAGTGTTTTTTTTATACAACGGTTTATTTCTCTTAGTTACACTTACAACATGTTTTTTTTTTTGAGTAATTAATAAATGCATTAAGAAAAATCGCATAACATAATGCTGAATAAATAACGATTTCAGTGGTTTTTTTTTACAACGGTTTATTTCTCTTAGTTACACTTACAACATAATCTGATATAATAAAATTCATGTTGAACCAAAAACAAAAAATAGTTCTGAATAAATACAAACTTTTGTCCAATAAACATAAATTATTGAAAAAATATAAGTAACAATGCATATCTACTGATAAAAACCTCTTTATATGGTTGTAATATATCTTTACTTATCAATATATCTATTTCTCTTACATGTACTACTTCTTATAATCTGATGAAGCACGTGCGTGTGACAAAGGAATAAATAAATATTATCTGGGGGTAGTATGGTGGTGACATGTTGCAAACAATTTAAGCCAGTGTAATTCTCTCCTTCTATCTGTCAAATAGGAGAGAGGACATGCGCCGTGGCTAAATGACACTCGGGTGTTTCGACCAAAGTCAATCACTCATTACCACCGACGTTTATAGCCTACTTCATTACTTGGACGTTCATTTGCTTCCAGGACACGAGGCAAAACAGTCAGGGAAACTCATCATTGGACATTATATTAATTTGAATATTGAATTTATCTGAATTGTGCAACTGGAATATATAACTTTGTGATTAAGATATAACAATTTATTATGGTATGTTATAAAAAAGAAAATACATCTGAATAATAATTTGGATATCTGAATATAGCATTGGATTATATAGCATCTTGGTGATCTATTTCAGACAATGCAGAATTACGGTGGTTTTGGTTTACAAATTCCACATCCACAAACAATGTTTGGTTTATCTCATACTCAACCATCAATGAGTCAACCATTTTACTTGAGTGGTCAATTTCCAGGTGGTCATCCCGGACTTCCTCCAACAGTTCAAACATTTGGTTTGGCAGAAAGACTGGCTGGTAAGTTTTCTTTCTACTGGTTCTTGCAATATTAAATTGTTTTACGTAAAAGACATCTAGGTTTTCAAAACGCAAATATATGATTTATGATCTATGACGCATTGTGATGAATTTTAAGCATATTAGTAAAAACAAAAAAGGATACTTGAGTGAATTTTGACATAGAGAATGATTTATCATCGAGAATTTATGCAACAGATCTTACAGTAATGTGGTTTGAAAATTAAATTCATGCATTGGGATATTTTGAATGCTGTCAGGCTTAGAAAAATATTAAAGTACCGTTTAAAAAAATTCAGAAAAAATAATTGTAAGAAATTAACCTGAAGAATGCAATACAGTCCTTTTTATTTTGTTGTCAATTCTTTCTATAATATCATTAGAGACATTGGAGATCAAAAGTAAAAATTAGAGAAAAAAAAAACTTAAATGTTGTTTGTCTAATCCTTGTTTTGCTGATTTTAGACAGTTTTTGTACTAGACAAACAATACATTTGTAGCATCAGAGAGATATGGGAAATTTTATTGATCAGTATATATAGCCATATTATTATCTATTGATTTGTAAATAATAAAATATTTTCACTGTTTTTAAAATAGCGCTCATTAAAATTGTAGAGCGATGTAATTAATTTGTTATACAAAGGTCATTTTTCAGTCAAAATTTGGTACATTTTTTCTATTGAAATATTTTGAAACTATAGGCCTTATATTTAAATTCACAAAAAATCAGTAAAATTCGATATAACGAATACAGTCTAAGGATATTAGTATCCACTTTAGTATTCTAATTTTAGATGAATTAAATTATTCGAGAGATTTCAGTTTTATCATAAAATACCATACGTTAAACAGAATAATAACTTCTCAATTGATTCGGAAAGGGTGAAGCGTAAATTTACAATTGTTTGCAAAGATATTTTACTATTTGTTGAATTTGTTGGTCACGGAAATAGGAAAATTATGGCATCGTGTCTAAGAAAATAAATGAATCAAATTAATTTTTTGCGGATTCTTTGATTCATTATTATAATTTTTATATGGTGAAATTTACATAGAGACCCGTTTCAGACTTACTAAATTTATGCAAAATAAAAAAAAAGGAAGCAAAAAAGAGAGATAAAAAAAAAGTAGGCCCTACATAGTAGAACTAAAAATATCTTAACTTATATTAACTCTTAAACATGTTTCAGTTTCTGTGTTAAGTTACAAGTTACTAATAGTTAATAATCTTTGTCCGTCAATCTACGATGATTTCAATATCTTGCAACATCTAGCCCATCCTTATAGGACTAAATAAAAACAGGTGATACAAGGCCTAAGATTTGAGTGGAAATGAAAAACCGTCTCAGTATTTACCTGTAAATTTTAACAAGTTTGATCACCTGTAAGAGAGAAGTTTATAATCTCTAGTCTTATGTCTTAAACTGTTTAATACTTCATTCTCCCACACGACCAGGCTTAGAGCCATCGTAACAACAATTTCTTACCGTTTGTTTTCTTCATACACTGGATTCACTCTATTTAGTTAAGCGTATTTGGGGTTGTTAAAGTTAGTTGAACACTTTGTCAGAGAATCCAAACTTTGAAATTGATAGACTTATAGATTCACATAGCTCAGTGAAAATGAAAGTAAAAATTTGAACGACACCTGTTGTTGTTTGATTTGTTAATTTTTTTCTATTCTCCAGTAAAATGTGTTAAGATGTGTTAAGATTAACAAGTACAATCTATAAACTGACATTGACAAGTTGTTAGTTTGTTGACTTCATTCTCTTTCCTTTAGAAAAATCTTATAAATAATTTTGTGCATTTCAAGTTCTAAATGAAAGTTTAGTATTTGGCTGTTTTTAAACTTTTCGACATTAGAACTAAACGTTTTTCTTGCTACTTTTGATTGATAATTAAACTTGGGTTTCTTTCGAGGAAGGGGATAGTCTATAACATTCTCATATTAAAATATATAAATCAACTTTTAGTTGTAAGTTCTACTTTTCAGAACTGCGTCTAGAGAAAATTACACCAAATCCTATTAAATACAACCATTCCATTGCCAGGACGATACATAAAAACACACAACATATATTATAGCAAGAAGTATATATTTGAAATTTTGTTTTCAGATATAATTCTGGAAGCTAGATATGGAGCTCATCGTAAACAAAGACGAAGCAGAACAGCCTTTACCAATCAACAGTTAGCAGCATTGGAGAAAACATTTGGAAAAACTCATTATCCTGATGTTGTAATGAGAGAAAGATTAGCAATGATGACTAATTTACCAGAGGCACGAATACAGGTAAACAGTTCTAGGAATACTTTGTGCGTTATAATTTAGATATTAAAGATTTTGTCCAAATGTGCCCCCTTTTTTCAAATCAGTATCACCATATATCGAACATTAAGTTAGGTTCTGAAAGAATAAAAACATACGTTGTAAAAGTAAGCAACACTTTGCTTGTTTTAATAGGTATGGTTTAAAAATCGTCGGGCCAAATTCCGAAAGAAACAGCGAGCCAGTAAGAAGAAAGATGGTGAAGAAGAAGAGGTTGGAGTTGATGACGAAGATAATGATAACAATAAAGAAGATGCCAAGGATAATGATGCCAGTATTATGAGTGATAATGAAGAAATAATAGATGAGAATACTGTGGATACAGAATCTATTGATGGGAGTACAGATGGCGTATCACAACTAGACACACTACAATCAGATAAACCTGCAGGTAAAAACTCTTTTTTGATCCGTAATTTTGTTAACGTCCAACATTTTTCACCATACGCACTACAGACAGCACTGAGCAGTAGCCTACTCTTTTCTGCTCTCCAAAAAATCCAGGAATCTTTACAGCTCACACGGCATTACCAAAGTTACAGAAATATCTACTGAACGAAATATATGTTCAAACACGGTTGTAGAATTCCATTTAGATTCCTGGAAAGAATGAGCACTTCTCCCGTCCTCTTCCTCATATTAGTGCACAACTTTGAAAAGTTTTTGGCTCTTTTTGAATTGAAATCATCAGATAGACTTGATTTTGATAATAAAGAAGAAATCATGACAGCAAGTTGAACACATTGAACACACACCATTAGAGATCAATACTGCTAAATTGGGTTAAAAGCATTGCAATTAAAGGGTACTAATTTTAGTTGTTACTTATTATTATTTCATCACAAATCTTGTTGTTTAGATTCTCCAAGAGCTGATGTTGACGAGTCTCTTATTAAAGATGAAACAGTTGATGTCGTTGATGAGAAACCTAACTTATCACAAACACCAACACCAAATATTACCTGTTCTTCTCCCATTGTATCACATAAGGGTAAGTTTAAGATGTGTTCATTTAACTTTTTTAAAGGTTATAATTCTTCTTTAAGAACTAACTTCACCCGCTGATATAGCTAGATCTTTAGAACGCCAATTTGTTTTATTATGAACATTGTTTCGGATGGATGTTTTGTGCTAAAGCAAATATTAAGCACAGAAATGGCATAATGCTTATTTTGCCACAAGCAGATATAAGAATTTCAGCCATTCGGCTATGAAGTCAGACCCATTCCTTCTTGTACGAAAGACTGTGTTGGCATAGACACATTCGTGATTCGTGAAACTTTGTAAAATTTATCGTCTAAAGTTGTTGGTAGAACACCATTCACTCATCTCAATATCAACGAAAATCTATTGTATATTTCAGCTTCAGAATCCAATGTTGATCGAAATCCAGTACAGTACCAGTATTCCCTTTCACAATTAGGAATGTTTAATTTTCAACAGCAAGCACTAGCTAGTGCCATGTTACATAAACAGATGCAGTATCAACAGTCGGGACTACCACAGATGTCTATGTTTCCTTTTCCTTCCAATGGTGCCTCGCCTTTGAACAACTGGCCAACGTATTATCCACAATCAACATTACCAGAATCACAACAATCACCTACTTCTCGACCAGAACCACTGAGAGTACCACCACCACCACCACCACAAGTAGCACATTCATCAATAAACCCACCACTCGGATCACCATCTTCTACCACAAAAGACGCTATATTGAATTCAAGTATTGAAAATTTGAGATACCGAGCAAGACAACATGCGGCATCTCTTGGTCTTTATGAACACTGATTTACAAATTTTGCTGAGCTGTTTGTCGTATGAGTTCTCTCCCAATTCTAACTGGAACAAATATTGACCCACAAGAAGGGCATGGTGATCCAAAACCCTTTTCATGATTTCAAATTCCGGATTCTTTTATTGGTGCTATCTTTTTTAATTCAACATCTAACACTGTCTCTTTTTTCAGTTTAGGCTTCTCTGTCTTTGTCTCTTCTCTATACTTTTTATTGTATCTGTTAGTATTTATTCCTGTTTATTAATCTTGTTTGTTTATTGTTTATATTATTAATATCTATGTTTAAATGCTCAGTCATATTATTTTTGTATATTAAAATATGATTCAAACATGTTTGATTGTACTATCTCAAGAGGTTAAACCTGACAGCAAATTTCTCAGTAGTGTACAATCCATATTCCAATGTATAACTCAATGTCCAGTTAGGCTAAAAAGTTTCATTGTCGACATTACGATTTAGTTGAATGGAACAACTCTATGGAAAAAAACGATCCTGTGATGCTTAATAAACTTTCAATGTTCCTAGCTGAAATGACCGAAAATTTTGGGAATAAAACCCGACATTTTATTCTAGCATAGACGGGTCTGGTCGAACCACATGAAGTTGCATAGTGCCAAGATTCGTTCAGAAATTAACCTTCAACGTTATGGCAATGATAGACAAGAACACAAAGTTAGTACAAGTTACTTCCCTTGAATAAAACAACCTCTAGCGTATTATACATAGAGATGCATATCAATGGATGACTTCAATTGGAGCTCGGGTTAGCCTTTAAACTCGTGTGACGTAATATTTGACCTAGATAGAAGCTCTGGTCCGACATTCACTATTTGGAGAGTCAAACACGGTAGTATGGAATGTCTATAGCCTATATATGGTCCCACCATATTGCCTTAACAAATTTGATTGCTTCTAGCTCGACCACAGAGGTTCAATCGAAGTAATCCCATGAGCTTTTATCAGGGTAAGGGAGACAACTTCAACTTCATTTTTATGGATTTTTTCTGACCTATATCTGGACTCAGTGATCATTTATTTACATATTTAAATTACACAATTCATTTAACTTTTTCCAGAAATCTCTTTCAAAACTCTCCAATATGAATACAATTATTTACATAAAATACTTTAGTGGTCTAAAATCAAATTCAAATAGTCACGTTTCATATACTTTTCACATCAAGGGAGGGAATTCTCTTCAATTTTATTACACCACTGAGGTTACTTATGAATTGTATCCATATACAATTTTATTCAATTTTTGTCAGCAGTACACAGATAGTTTGATGGAATAGCTATGGCGAGCTATAAAAAGTCTTCGGAGTACTATAATTCGAAGCGCTGCACGGATGCTCAAGAAGTGCCTCTCTAAGTGAAAGGATACCCCTCTGGCTAGTGTCAGAATAACTGTCCACTAATTCCTTGCTGCAATAAACTTGGCCTCTCAAACCTACCATAAACAAGCTCTTCATCACTAATTACACCACCTCTACTCTCTTCTTCAACCTCTTTGTTTCTTAATTATCTTCCTCTATCCTACAACCTTCCCACTTCCCTCTTGGTTCTGTGTTTCGCCATTCTTTCCCGATTAAACACCCCTTCCCCCTTATAAGCAATGCGAATCAAAATTTAAATTGATTAACCAAAACTGAACTTAGATGTGACTCATTGCAAATGAAATTTTCCAATCTCAATTGAACAAATTGTCTTTGTATTATGCCTTTATTCTCGTGCGACAGTAAAGAAAATATTTTCGTAATGTATGGGAGACAACTTCATTTATAAATACTGTAAAAGGATTTCTGAGTTGTCATAATTGTTTCACTCGACTCCTCGAATATCTCCAGGAATTCACTTCATATTATGACTGGTATTCCTGTCATAGACAAAATAAAATTAGAAAATACCAGACCAGAAAAATTAGTGTGGTTGATTCTTGACTTGGATAAACCGGATGCATTCACAAAAACCTTAGGAGGTTTTTGCCCATTCTATCTTTATAGTCATAGACGCTAGTGAAGAATTTGTCTATTACCGCGACCAATTAAATCAATAAGTATCTTAATATGCTTTAACAAGAGATTATGGTACATATCAACTCTGTGTTATAAGGAATGGAGTAAGGAAACTCCGGCGGGTCACCAATGTTGTGCCGATATGAAGGGTTGAATCAACTGTGTTATTTCCCCTTAACTATTTGATGTCACAAAAAGTTATATATTGAAAACTTTGTCTACCAAAACAAATGAAACTATAAACGTTAAAATAATAATATAATCGCTTATTTGTGGTTACTGGAAATCCATTGATAATTCCCGACATGGGTCGTATAAACTCGGTTCCCCTGTAGTTGTTGAAGGTTGGAAGGGAGTAATGTCTAGTAGGATGGGACAAAAGACAGAGACCTCGTGTGCTCATTTCCTTTCTTAAACAAATCATTTATGGAAGTAAACGTATTGAAATTTGCGCCAAACACATTGCAATAGAATTAATATATCAGTTCACTCCAAAAAGAAAACTTATTATATGATAGCAATAATAGTCTTCGTATTAGAATTGTAACTTTCAAGGTTCTCCGATAGTGTTCCTATGTCGTTTGGTATTAATGAATCGGTTTATCTTTGGCTTTCAAGAAAAATGTTGGTAGTTTATTTGTCTCAATTTTGAAACGAATAATGCCAATCTATCTTTAGGAAGAATTCATTTCGCTCCAACAAATTCTGTTAATTCCAGTTCGAAAACTGAACTGCCTGGCGAACCTTTTTGTATATTTCTGTTTGATACAGAACCGAGTTCGATAGCTTGATTATGGTTTGAAGTATGAACATCAAATATTATTATCTCCCCTTATTCATTTTCAGAAATCCTCAGAAATAGTTACGTATAATACGCAACATAAGCAATCGGGTAAAAAATCATTAGAATTTTCAATTTCAAAACCAAGGCTCTATCCTCCTATTGATGCAGATCCTACCTAGTCTGTGATATTAGTTATCTGGAGGCTGATGTCTACTTGTCATTTGCCAACCAACCAACTCTATCATCAAAATTGTGTATTATTCTCCGCTGTGTTGAAGTAGGTTGGTAGGTTCGTAACTTTCAAACTAAAAATACCTCGACAGTTCAGCGTTAAAAAACTGTCGAATAAACCCTAGAACACGTTGTAAGGTACACGATACTGTCTCAGACTGGAGGAAAACTTGAATTCCAATTATACCAGTCGATGGACATAGTCATTTCAATATCAGCGAATTAAGTCACCAGTATATCAGGATTAAAATCATGAACAAGTCACAAATCGTCTTCGAAACTCTTATAACCGCCCCTGTAACAAATGAGGATTGTATGGGCAGTCCGAAGACCGGGAAAAACAGGTCGAGTCTATCTGAAGAGAAGTAAATATTTTAAATGATTATTATCTCCCCTTATTTATTTCACAACGAAGCTGAACATCAATATTCCCACCTCCAGATTCATATATTGCCAAAGGAATTGTCTACACTGTGTAGGAAATTAGATGAAAATCTTCTAGTGCTGGACATTCACAAATACCTACATGTAATTGTAAAAATCATACAGCTTTGTAAAAGTTAATGACCAATGATTTTATTCAGTTCGTTAGCGAACCGGAAGTCAAGGTTCGACTCGGCCATGGGTCTAGATAAAACCTGCAGATCAAATTAATACTCGCAACGGAGAATTGTCAACTTGTCACTACGAGATTTCTCAATATCCCTGTTAATACTTGCTGCAGCAATATTCCATCATCATCATATACAATACGTTTTAAAAAGTTGTGTATAACATGCGTCCAGTATTCAATCGTTGAATGTACCCTAAATAAGAGATTTGATATGCGGAAGAGAATTAAAATAAGCTTGTAACAAGTCTAGCTTTCAGTCATTTACTAAAAGATGTTGCTTTTCAGCAGCAGGAGTAAATTTGCTCCTTTGAATATGACGCACTCGTTCTCCAGCTCTAATCGCTTTAGGTCGGAATGAAATCTTAAATTTTAGAATTTAACTTTTAACATTTTTGTATCATATAATAATACCATTTTCCTTTATTACTACAATTATTATTTCAGACATAAATAATAGTGATTGCTTTAATAATTTAATATATCGGTAGTTCCGCTTCTGATTTTTGATATTTTTCGACTTTTTAAGTTCATTCATTCCTTGGTGCAATAATATTATTGTAACGGTTGTTAGTATTCCAGCCCGGTAATACCTAACAGTTAATCAAGCTGTTAATAGCTCATTAAATAAATCTTACCATGGAAATTAATACCGTTATTCTTTTATCTTGATACTAGGGTCACCATGCTTTATTATGCCCAAGTTGAAACTAATGAAAACGATATTACTTCAGCAATGAGACACATGTGTCGAATTAGAAAATGAAGCGAAATTTATCCTATTGTTTGTTCATTACCAACTCAAATACAAACATCCATATCACTAAAGCGTGACATAATGACAGAATGAGATGCTCTCGTGGGATTCCTAAGACTTACGATTTTCACCAGGGTCGAGATTTGACCACTAAGGACACACCAGATGGCCTATTGCCAATAACCTCGGACAAATGGCCACTCAAGAGAATGTATCAATTCAACATCACATTTGTATCATTTTTCAAGTTCTTCATGTTTAGCACTCGTTTGCGGTTTCCTTCAAAGAGCATACACTTCAAATCTTGTTCCAGTGTACTTTAGTGGTCAAGAAAACACTCAAAATGGTCCAAGAAATTTTTAAAAGCAGCCAAAACTATCAAAAACCAAATTTTTATAGGAAACGTAGTGATTGAACAAAACATTTTTCGAAATGTTGTAGTGTTGGACACAAAAATTGAAATACCTATCAAAAAAAAAGAAAGATTTTCTGGGAAATTATGCATTTTTGAGGCAAGCTCACAGGTTATCACCTTTCAGAAAAAAATAGCTTGTAAGGGAGGAAAATGCAATGCTTATAGAGAAAATGAACACATACTTAAAGTTTTGTTGTAGATTTTCTCGTAGTTCCATAGTATTGCTCATCATTGTGACTTTGAACAGGAAATAGAACCATTTATTTATATACAGATTTCAAACTGTGAAATCAAAACTATTCTAAAAATGTTTCTTGAATCTTTCTAAAGACATAGCATACAGAAATGGTCATTAAAGGGGTTAAAAGTTCACATTTTGGTCTCAAAGATCTTCCAAGTTGATCAACTTTCACTCTTAGATACACAAAAACCAAAACAATTCTTCAAAAAGAGGGGGTGTTTCAAGACCTTGGCATGTTAAACTGTTACAAAGAAGATAGCAACAACTAAATCGTATACTTTGGTATTAGTGAGAATTAACGGTGTGTCTGTTTGCCAAACTAACGACTTGTAGAAAGCTAAGAGTTCTTGACTATGTCAATACATCTTATTATTATGTAGCAATGGTATCAATAGACACAAGAGGTGTTTAAGAATCATTAGGTAACACGGTTTGTAGTTCTTCCCGGTGTACTATTTTTGAAATACTTTTCCCTGGGAACTCTGCTCAATCATAACACCGTAAGTTTTTTTCTTTCGTTTTATGAAAATAAAATCATTCTATTTCTTCGATTCAGAGGTTATTTCGTTCAAAAGAATTTTTGGAATTTTAGCAAAAAAAATGATTTGGAATTTTTCTAGTTATTCCCGATTTTTATTTTGTTCATACATGATTAACAAATATTTAAATGACTAAAAGACGACAGTTTATCATAGAAAGTTTTCAATCTTAATGATGGCAAATATATGAGACCCTTCTAATTTTCTTTCTTGCACAAACATTAACTTTTGGGTGTGATTTCTGCAGAACTGGAGACTAGACCAGGTTAAGATTTGAAAACTGTAATAAAACCCAAATTGTTCTGGATACGTTTCTTGATGCCTTTGACCCACATGTTATGGTTTGATCTTTGGTCTAAGGTAAAGGGTCTCACATGACGTTTTTGGGTCACAATTAATTATGATTGCAGACGTTCCTTATTAATTTGGAAGATTTACTGTCATTGGTTTGTAGGCCAAGGTTTTTGAGAATCACAAAAGTATATTGATAAGCATTAGGAAATTACTGGCATTGTTTTGTCAACGATTTTGTGCATCTCTTTTCTTGCAAATATCCCATCTGGTAGTCAAAATTGAGTCGAATTAGCTTCATAGCTATCCAATGTTTTCTATACCTGCGTTCCGAAACACTTTTTGGCATAAAGGTTAGGAATAACTGTCTTAAAAAAAACCCCGAAAAACAAGACAAAAAGAATTACATATTCAGTAGGGACAATAATGACATAAATCACCTTCGCCAACTGTTGCACTGGAGATGTACTATTTTACTGAAGACAACAGCAAATGAATTGAATCCAATTCGATCAAGATAATATCACAATATGTCATAATAAATATTTATACATGGATTATAGATGTCTAGATATTGTAGAGTGTTTCTAATATTACGTGTACATCATCTATATTGTTTCACGTTCAATACTAATTTTAACCAAACGTTGTCGTGGTTATCATGTACCGTAACCATCTATCTATCGAGGTAACGACTAAGCATACTAATGAAGTAGGCCAAGAACAAGCTGTTATTAGGGAGCTATGAAATGGGAGCCCCAAAATCAAAAACCACCCTAACTGTACGGTTCAGGACTCTTCAGGAAGTAAATAAAATGACCAAGTCTCCGATTAGCAACTGTACGGTTAGCAACTTGCTCTGTGCGATTCCAGACTCTTCGGGAAGTTAAAAAAATGAGCAAGTCTCCGGTAAGCAACTGTCCGGTTAGCAACTGTCCGGTGACCAACAGTTCGTACTTCAGAAAATTGGCTACTGCTGCAGTTACTTTCAACTGTCAACTCTTTCTGACTAGTGCAAGAAACAATGAACCAACCAAGATAGTAAGTGCCTTACAGATGACTTATAGCAAAAAATATGACACATTGAAGCATGGGAACCCTTAACAACAATAATATACCCGGAATAAACAGATACATTTGTTTTTTTGTGGTTTCTAGCTTCAAAGGACGTTGTATAGCCTTGGTTTGTGTACTGGAATATTTAATACTTTTGTCCGAATCAAACTCATCTTCGGGTTGGCGTCTATGTTTCTGGGTTTCTAGCACCAAATCATGATCACACCATTACGACAAAACAAAGGGGCGTTCGATTGGTGAGTTATGCACATTTGGGACACTTGGAATCAACCGTAAGTTCAATAAAACAAGTTGGAACAGGGTTCAGAATGCATCCACGTGTGCAGAAAAAGAAGTATGTGTGGACAGAATTCAGTAGGGCAGAGAAAGGAATAGGGGGTCGGGGGGATTTTGAGTTTGATTGAGGCCAGAATTGGAACAGACAGAACCTGTCCAGAACTCACCGATTGAGTACCAACATGTTTCTGTGAGAATGAAGTCATCAAGATTTTCTAAAAGTAAAGGATTTACAAACGTCTATCGGAATTCAAATATACAGCTCAAATGGTCCGTGATACACATAATAAGGACATAAAAACATCTTCGAAACCCGAAACGACGAGAAATTTGGATACTGGTTGTCAGTTCAAGGGAGGTAATTATCTCACAAAATTGTGTTATCACAATGTCAGTTCTATTATAGGAGAGTATCACCCAGTATAATATTGGTTAATTTTTGAATAATTAATTATTGCGAAGGGAGTTTTGAGACAATGAAATGAGTTTCACGATCTTGTTTTGATTTTCTCTTCTGGTTAAGGCTAATATTACTAGGGTGGTCACTTGTGTTTGCTCTTGTCCTGTTTCCTACTGAAAAATCACAGTTTGTGAATCACATCTGGTGATGAGTATGCCTTCGAAATTTTCCAGACCGATTTTTCTATATCAAATTGAAAATTTTTTCCGAAATTTGTAATTTAAGCACAATTTGAATGGGCAATTAGTTTTCTTGATTTCATAAGAGTGAACAACAGCAGCAACAGGTAATCCGCTTTGAGTTTGGGTGCCTTGAGAACTTCTAGACTCCACCGTCTTAGATGAGGAAGGCATGGCAACTAGTCACCACTGTAAATAGTAAAAATTTCATTATTTAGCATAGTTTCAGGGTGAAATTCATTTAATAAAATTGAATGTTGCGTTAGGCGAGTTGGTTCAAAATAAGCGATTCTCTTTTTGGCCTGTCTCTTTGCTTTGATCGGAAAATCAGAAACCATCTCTTTGATGATATTTTTGTAACCTTTGAGCATACAGAATGTATTGAAGCTTAATCTATTTTGCAATGTTTGGCTTAACAGACAACTTCGTTTCTTTGACTTTGTTAACAGTTTGTTAGACAAACTATCATTCTGTAATCAGACTTGATTTAATAGAGATTATTTGAATGAAGGAGCCTATCATAACACTAGTAATTTAATCAGCTACTCAATAATTATATTGAGTGTCTTTTTCATTATCAAATGCTATCATACGTGCCATCTTGCTCTTGTAAATTCATCGTGAATTAATTTGGATTTCCTTAATAAAATGAATGAGTTCTTGAAAGTTTGTTTTTCTATGTTTTGAGTCTAGTGATTTTCCGAGGTCTTTAATGCCAAATTTAAAATCTGTTTCATGCTACTAAGGTTACTTCCAGGACTTCCAGGAATAAAAAGCATGTTCAAATATAATATTTCCACTAAATATCGCTCCTGATTTTCCATTGTTTTTGTGCATCCGATAATATAAAAGAAATGGTTATTGTTCATTTGAGAGGCTTTAAAGGAAACACCATTATTCTCACTGAAACCTCCTTTACTTGTATGAAGACGCGACTAATTTTCATCTAAATAGCAATTGAATGGCCATTTAATGAGAATTCGGAGCTAGAAGAGTGATAAATCGTTGGAATGATTTATGTTTCTGGTAATCCCCCTTCTTCCTCATACCAAATTTACATTGACTTGACAATATCATGTTATATGGAACCAAATCGACAGTTCACAACATGTACATTTCAGTCCAAATTGACAAAAATTAAGTTAGCAGGAAAATAAAACAAAAACTTGTGAGAAATGGGAAAAGTTTGTGCATTAATCTTTTGTGTATAATCTTGGTTGGTGAAAGACGACAGATTGAAGTGTCTAGGGAATTCCTCACAGATCGTTTGTTATAAACCAAGCGTTCTGATTTCTCGTCACTTTCTATCAAGACGGAACACAATCAAAATTTGTGATCGACATTCAGTAATTAGGCTGAAGCGATCCAATAAAGATATAGTGAGAATAGGCTGCACTAAATGGCCAGCTCCTATTTCATAACGACTCATAACGTTTCTTAATAACTTCTTCTATCATCTAGAGTCTTATTTGTATGATAATTTTACCTCTCAAGGGAACGACTTCTGGGTCACATGTCAAATATGGAGTCATATGCAATATGATTCATTTCGATAATATGCCATGGAAGATAAAATAGGAAATTCAGTCACGTGGATAGAATTTGAACTGAAGTTTATTATATCAGAAGAAAATCCCGTTACTCAACTGTCTTTTGATTAATCTCTGCTCTATTTACAAAATTTCATGGCTGATTAGCCGATTGATTAACCTTAGCAAATCGATGTCATCTCTTATTACTGAACAACTACTGCCTCAAATTCTTCAATTGCTTCTTGATCAAATTTAGAAAGCAAAGATAAGAGAGACGGCATATTGATGGGAAAGGAAATGTCGAAGTGCTCTATACACTAGTATAGGAAACAGGCATTATTTCCATAATAAAATTATAACACATCTTGTAGAAGTCGGCTTTAGAACAGATCGACAATAATCACTGGACTTTAGAAAGAATTTCACTTCAATCTTCCTATTACTGATTAATATACTGATAAAAGTAAACAGTGGATTTCTCTACAAAACTCACTTAACATCGTTCATTTTTACCACAATCAACTTTGATACGATTAATACGAGTAGAGCCTTATTCAATCCAAGATTTAATTCTACTCTAAGAGAGATTTTCGGGATTTAAGACTTGGTTTGAAATGTTCTTCATATAACTTAGTGGGTATCATTTCAGTCGGTATTTTATCAGAGACAGACGTGCTTTTGTAAGAACCGAATGAACGACAGCGCAATTTCACTCTTACTTAAACAGGTTAGCTAATTGATACATGTGAAAATACTACACGATATTCTAAGGTAATTTTCATAATGCTATATAAATAATTTTACTTTTTACATTTCAGTATTACGAAAAGTGGACTTCAAATATGCAGTCTTACTCCGCTCTGGAACTTGGAAGAAGTTCTTTACAAAGTTCATCTACATCAAAACATTCGAGTACCGTGTCATCAACTATAGGTACCAGCTTATCATCAACAACTAATCCAAAACATTCATCCTCGCATCACCAATCACACGATACTTTATCACAGTTTGCTGAAATAAAAACAGAAAAACTTTCATTTGAAGAAAGTATGAATTTACCAGGTAAGTTATTTTTTTTTTAAATTTTGATATGATTTTAAATGAATTAATTTATTTTACCTTAATTCAGTTCCTACTATAACAAGTCAAAACAATGAAATATAATTTTTTTACCGTGTTTTAAATTATTTTATTCCAACACAAAACACAAATAATTTCTCTTTCAAGGGATATGCATCAGAATTGAATAAAATAAAATATACAAATTTTTATGTCTCAATTTTTGTTTTTTTATAGATCAAAGTACGAAATAATTTTAAAACATGCGTCACAATGTGTTTTAACAAGTTTATTTTTCTTAAAAAATATGATTAGATAACTTTCAGTAATTACAAATTGACAAATATAAACAAAATATTTTTTATGAATTTGCAAGACATATCTTACATTCTATAAAAAAGGTGAAACAAATGATGCAATTTCTTCTTCTTCTTTTCTTTATTTCTTTTATTATGTCTCGTTCTTTTAATTTTTTTATCGTCGTGTACTTTGTCTTTAATTTTGAAAACTATTTTTTTAAATATAATTATAATATCTTATGTTCCTTACTATACATCACTATTATAATCGGTCTATAGTACAATTATTCCGACCTACATTCAACGAGCTGTTCATTGTGGTAAATAAATAATATTATTTGGACGGATTATACTATGTATGATATATAGTCCCTATGCCACGCTGCTTTATTGTCGATTCGCCATTTAAGGAATTGTATGTCTAGTAACGTGTGTATGTTATTTGAATCCTTGTATATATAATAATTTGAAGTAAAGTTGTACATTCATTGAGTTTTGCATATTTTACTAGGCACAGGAAAGTGATTGCCAACATTACTAGCACAATTTTAAAATTTATTCAGAATACGGATAGTTTGTGCTCTTTCATCTTGCTACTCAAAGAGATAGTAACAGATTTACACCAAAGTGTTTATATTTTTGTAATTCAACCATTGTATAATCCTTTAACAAAATCAACAACATTTAAAATTTAGTTTTCGGTTGCTTCAAAGAGGCAATATTTGCTGCTAACAAACTTTAAATCGAAACCATGAAAGACACAAATTTAATGCAGCAGAAACTCAAAATAAAATAATCTAATTTTTTAGCTTTAATCATGGAATATTTTTTCTAAAACTTGAACAAATCGGTCTTAAATATTGAAAAATTCATGGAATATTTAAAATCGTGTATCAAACAGATTTGGAATTAAATTTATCGTAAATTTCGTACTGTAAATGTCAAATTTGCATTCAAAAACCTCTGAATGATGTTAAAATTATAATGGAATTAATTTATATTTTAACATTATTTTTGAAATTTTTTTATATAAATCTACATACAAAAATATTGTATCAAAAAATGCTCAATATATTAATAGATATTAGACCGAACTGATGTACTTTTGAAAACAAATCAGATCTATGATATAAAGTCGAGGTGAATCATGCGAACAAATGGAATCGTAATTGTTGTGCAAGTGTTTATTATTCGGAATCAACGCTGAATTTGATGTCTTTAGAAAATTTCAAGTGGGTACCCATCAAGTTAGGAAGCAAGCATTGAGTTGACGAGTGGATGTTTGAATAAAACATTTAGAAAGGACACCTGCCTGCACTAACAATATCCTAACCTTAATTGTTAGTATTCAAGTTGTGTATTGTAAATGATATTGAGTAAAAGAAATACATGTTGATAGAGACTTGAAGTATCTATTGTTAACATCCAACCACCACAAACTGTGTGTAGAGAATTAGAGATTAGACGGTATAATACAACATATGGCCTTAAATTCTTCACTTGATCCTTCATTACTATTCTCTAATATTGATCTAGACATTATTTACATCTTAAACTTAGCTTGAAATAATCATAAGTCAATATTTAAATTATGTAATATTGGACAGTAATTTCCATCTAATTTAGATCAGAATTCTTTCAGCATGTAATATTAACGTATTTGAAATCAGTATTCATCGTAATATATTGAGTGTATTACCATTATTTGATACGATAGAGTATTTGGTTTTTTTTTTCATTTTAATAAATTGCCAATACATAAACCTTAATCTTCAAAAATATAAGAAACGAAAGGTCAGGCACAGATTCCTTTTTGTTTTTGTGGTCCTAAATCGTAATATTCTTCAGAGATAATTTAGAATCTTGGCCGAATATAACGATTCCATAATTTACTCTTCAGACTGTGAAACATACTTCTATTAATTCAGATCGGTATGATGATATTATAGCCATAGAATTGGCCAGCTAAAGTAACAATTTGCATGGAATTTGTTGGAATTAGTAATTTAGTATTAATATTTTCATGACCATGTATTAGTGATGCTATTATGAATGAATAAAGAACATAAACAATTCGGCTCACAATTATTATTTTTTTTCTTCTGAAAATGAAGTTTTAGTGAGAAATTAATTTGTGGTTAACGTCCTATTTTTCTGTGTATGCGAGATGGAACAAAAATTAACAACTGTGCCATTGCATTATTGCTTGTAACAATTTGTAAAATATATAATATGGATATATTTTCAACGACGGAGAAAATTACGGTTCAGTTCTCCATTTTGTCCCGATGTTTACAAAATTTGTTTCAAAATATTCAAGTTAATGTATCAGCACAGTTAAATTGGATGAAGAAATTATTGTAACAGGCTTTCTTCCAGATGGCCGTCTCTATTCATTCTATGGAAATAAGAAAAGACGAACGTGAGAAGAGTAAAATACGTGAGCAATAACCTCGAGTTCGTCTTTTATTATCCCGTTGTTACTCTTACAATACACGTTACAAGTCCATTGTAATGGCACCGTGGCGACCTCTTGTCTAATCTGCATATAAGATAATAAGAAGATTAATGTATCGAGATTTCTAAGATAAGATAGTCTTGTAAATTGATACTGATGAGTTCAGCATCGTCCTTTTAAGATGTTATAAAGATGATGTCTTGTTAAAATAGCCACTGTTTAACTTTCGCTGTTATTATTGTAATTTTTGATAGTGCTATTATACTCTTATCAAGATGAAAGTCGGTGAAGAAGTAATAAAATAATTATTATTTATTAGTAATATTGAGAATGTTGTCACTATTGTACAGTTCTATTTATTATATTACATCTGATTACTATGAGATCAAAGAGGGTCAGTAACTTGGTCAATCAGAATAATCAGCTATCCTTTACTTGTATCACTGCATTTCATAAATTTCATTCTTTACTCTTAACAATGTTTGAACAATTAAACGCTGAAAAAAAAAGATATTTTCGGCAACTTCGGTCGAGTATTTGTGTGACAATGATATTTTTAAATAGAACAGACTGTCATCAATTCTTTCATTTCGTCAATAATGTGACGACCAATGTTACATCTGAAGCAGTAAAATACTTTTCTACTAGATAGTCTAGCAACCAGAACCCCTCAGACAACGTCGCATCATACTTCTAGATTCTATATTCATAGTTTCTAAACTGTATTATATGGACAGCTTCGCCATCCATTTGACCATTCGTATGTTTTTCTCAGAGACGAGAATTTTTTAGCTTTGATAAACAGTAATAGTGTTCACAGCTCACCGTCGAAATTTGAGTCTTGAAATCCATGTATGTTCAGAATTATCAGCGTTAGAAAGTTAAAAATACGACTTTTTTTTCTTGAGAAATGGCATATAGAAAAAGCTGTATTGGCTAAGAATAATACAAGAAATTCCTAGTTTGATGTATTTTTGAAGGAATTATGCGATTTACATACATTTCTAGTACTTCTGAAGACTATTTACATATATTCAAGACCTAATTTAACCACCGAAAATGGCGAACTTTTTCCTTTAAATAACGATGTTCCTATGTCTTCACCTCACCAATCGTCCAAACAGAAAGTAAAATTCTTGATATATATTTGTTGAGTTATATCATGAAATAACTAGTTAATATTCAATCGCTTCGATTAGTAAAAATACATGATTCATTATATTAGCAATAACCAAACTCCTCACAATGTTTCATACCATCGTTGATGGTTTCGGTATTGAATACCTTGAATAAAGATTAGTAGAAATGTTTTCGTTTGACCTACATACTCCTTCCTATATTAAAGCTGCCAATAATATCTAAGCGTCTGTCATATTGATGTCATAAAACGCTTAGTTTTGGTGAAATTTCAAGAACCACAGATGTTTGATTCGAACATTGGTATGGTGGAAATGGATGTTATCAGCCTTCGCGATACACATAAGAGGATACAGGTTGTTCCTATTTAGTTCAAATTGAGTGTTGTCGATAGCCAGATCCCGTACCCAGCTTATTGGCAATGTGCAGCAGATACAGTGCCAAAACAAGGCAACCTTGAACCAGGATCATCATATATCAGTTTCTGTTAAGACGGTATAATTGGTATTGAAAAGACAGTCGTTTCTACGGAAATGGTCAATAGGAATCAATTGAATTATTCATTTTAATGATAAAGATTCGCAAATAAACGAATGCGTTACGGAAGTTGGACAGAACATCCACGCTTCAACCTTGAGCTGAGCAGAACGAATATCACTTTAAAGACATCTCCCCAACCTGGCATACGGATGAGTCCTAGTAAGTAACGACCAACAAATTTTTTTACTGTCTTTTTTTATGATGAGTTTCTGGAAAACTGCATTGACAGGAAATTCAGTGGATTCAAAAATACATAACGATAATATGTATCAATATCATTTCCATGTGGACAGGATATCATCAAGTTTCGTTGCCAGTGTTATTTCAAGCGCTAACGGGTTCATCTAATTCCCCAGAAGTTGTTATATGACTTTGAGCACTAAACCTCTACTGCGTAACCAATGCTCCCTGGTGTTGTCAAGGCTCTTTTGTATAATGTCAAAAATCGAAAAATTTTATCAAAAGTAGATAATTTTTGTCATTTGCATCGTAGTTGTGTGCTTTTATTTTTGAAAAATTCAGTGCGATTCAACTATAAACCTTAGCCAAATATATGATTAGCAAAATCTAAATTTATCACGACAATCTCCGAATCAAATCACATGGTATAATCTTCATATGAATTGTTGTTAATAAATCTAGTAATATTAGGCAACGCTCAGCGGTCTCTATATACCATATTTTTATGGTTATTTTATTAATATAATTATTATTATATTATTTTACACGTCATTGTCGAGATCAGTCTGGAATCTACAACCGAAACATTTTGAATTTTTACCGAATTTTTGTGAAATCCGAATTTTCGTGAAATCCGAAT